CGTTGTCGCCACCAAGGCCAAGGTCACCGCCTCCCAAAGTCGGCTCATCCTGCTCAAATTCCAGCTGCAGTTGTGGCGTCTTCTCTCCTTCGGCTGCGGCCTCGTCTTCGGTAGCGTCATTGTCGGCAATTGCACCACCACGCTTGCGCTTCTGGGCTGGGCGTGAGACAACTTCTAGGGAAAGGATACCTCGAAGCTCTGGAGCCCATCCTTGGCTTCGTCCGTCGCCCAGTATGCTTGAGACAAACCCTCCGGACTTTTGCATGTTCATCAAAGCCATCAGAAGAGGGTCGCGAGGCAGGAACGATGCAGGCTTGAGGATCTTCTCGCGGTTGTTCTGTTGCTCCCTCAACTGGTGGCTTGAGATCATAGTTTCGGCATCAGCTGCAATGACCCTCCTGCGCTTGGCGCGGGCTTGATGGATTGATTCTTCCTCTTCCTGCTCTGGCTCTGGCTCAAACACGGTGACGTTCTGTTCGGCAACCTCCTGTTCAAGACGTGTGGCCTCCTCCTCTCCCAACTCGGAGAGCGGTGACTCTTCACGTTGTCGCACAGGGAAGTCGCCGGCGATAGAGCCTGCAGGAAGTTCGGTGTCCATGTCCATACCGCCCATAGTAATATCCAGGTCATCGTCCAAATTGAGTTCATGGCCGCGTGCGAGTTCAGTGGGAGGATCTTCGCCAAGGTCGATGCCGAGATCATCGTCATCCACTATCATGTCTTTGCCTAGCCCGGTAAACTCTTCGGACCGACGGCGTTCCAAAGGTGCGTTACGGCCAACTTCAATGCTGGTACCCTCGTCGTAGGCGGCTGTCGGCTCCAAGTCATCATCCTCTCCAATGTCCAGGTTCAGGTCGTCATCCGGCAATTCCATGGGCTCTCCGCGCGCCTGCTCAATGCTGCCGGAAAGGAACTGGCTGTTGTCCCAATCGGGGACTGTGGTGTTGCCGAGGTTGAGGCTGCCGCTAAGAGGCTGGGAGAGAAGGAAAGAAGGGTCGGGCATGGGAGCCAACAGATCGAGATCGGTGATCTGATCCTGTAGCATGAGGTTTGTGGGATTGGCGACGTGAGTCTGGGCGGGCGCATCGATGTTTCCGGGACGGAAGGCCTGCACAAGGGTCAGAGGTGGTCATGTCACGCAGTCAAACTTGGAACGTACCATCCTGATCTTCCACAGCGCTTCCTGACAGTCATCCTGGAGGTAGTTGACCTTCTTGTTGTAGATGCGAACCTCGCCGAGGAGCAACTGCGCGTTCAACCGCAATGCAAGCGGACCGCCAGCGGCCACCTCGGGTCGGATGATGACCTCGCAACTCTCTGGGATCTTGTGCTGCAGCACCTGGGCCTTGGTGAGCTTCTTCTGTTGATTCGAGGCAAGCCAGACGTGCGCAAGCGCGCCCTGCTTGAATAGGAGGTCCTCTGGAAGAAACATGGTGGTGGTTGGGTAGATCGGTTTGTGGGCGGGGTGGTAGAGGAGTCGCGCTGTTGTTTACGTCGACGCGTCGCGGCCAAGTCGATGCGCGTGGCGTGAAAGCGCGCCGACAATGTCAAAATTAGAGCCCCGAAGTGCGCGCAGATGCAGCAATGGCAGTGATGGTCAAAAATGGTTGAGCGACGATGGTGTTGCGGATGCGCTCGGTCGTTGAAGGATGAATGAGGCTGGTTAGGGCTGGCTGGGATTAGATGGCAAACACGACAGCCCTCGCTTAGTCATAGGCCTGTCGCAAGACCAAGCCCAACTTCACCTTCCACGCACGTCATCTTCCATTCCATGCTACTTTCACGATGCAACAAGCTGCTACATACTTCGTTAGACAATGGACACATATGTTTTGTCCATATAGACATTAGAGGCAACAAATTTTCATGCAACTTGGACAATTGACTCAGTCAACTGTTTCATTACGCAGACTTGACTTCATATGGAAGCCTCAGCAACTACTAGGTACCTCAGATCCGCCGACTCCACCTCAATCCTGGACTGCTCGCTTCCACATATTTCACATCGATCTTCCTCCCTCTGGCGGCAAACCCGTCCCTAAGCCACACCACCAACCGCTCGATCAACGGTGCACAGTCCACCAAAACGTTCTGCATACCGTGCCGATCACTTACCCTGATCCTAGGCCAAGCCTCGATCGTCAACGTCTGCAAACTCTCTACCTCCAGGAGATCTGCTAACTGGTAAATCGCAATGACATCTTCCAACTCTCTGATGCGCGTTTGATCGAATGTCCATAGATCAAAGGTCCCTAGCGTTGTAGGAGGGATAACAACATCCTCAGCCCAGTTACATGAGTCAATAGTCATGTACCCAACTTCGAACTTCAATGCGACTTGCGTTAGCCCAGTACATCGCTTCATGAGCTCGATGTAAGTGTTCTTAGTCCCAGCAATTGGTTGGTAGCGGCCGAAGAGTTGGAAATCGAGTTTACGAATTGCGGCAAAGCCTGAATCGTCATCGCCTAGACTCTCCAGGAACATCGTGAATCGTACTGCTTGCTCTGGGTAGATGAGGTAGAATTCGGTCGTCCGTAGAAGGTACAGGGATACATCGACGCGCGTGGCTTGGTTCACGCGACAGAGTTGTTCGAGCCACTGGAGGTAGAAAGGGTCGCCTCCACGACGGGTGTCTACGGGACCGAAATTCAAGGGCTGAGACTGAGAAGTAAGGTCCTCTGGGAGTATCGCATGTCGGTAGATGATCTCGCGGAGCTCAAGTGGCAGAGTTGGAAAAGGTATAGTAGATTGCGCTGCAGCGTTAGTCGGGTTCATTTTGTTCATGATGCTTGGTGGAAAGAGTGTAATAGAGAATTTCGTTAGTTTTTCGCAGTGCTCAGTTTGCTGTTTGCGAGAACAGGGAAATACATGTCTTGCAGGTCAACTAATTAGTGTTTTGGTACTATTGGCTTCGTGAAGAGCACTGCTTCAAGGTACCAGCACGCAATGCGACCAAGTTGAATTGGTCACTCCTTCTATTGTACACTCCCTGTGCCTGCGCGCGCATCGCAACGAGTTTGTTATCGACGGGCCATGTCAGCAAAGGGGTTGTCAATGGACTGACAAATTTCGGACACCTCCAAGATATTAACGTCGCCATTGACTGTGTGGAATGATATCGCTGAAGATGCACTTTGTCTTCGAATCTGCAGGCATAGAAATTAGTCGCGCAAGATAGTGACGCTCGGTGTCGAGTTTATTGAATGGGATGACATTGAATGGAGCGGAAGTTGGATGGTATGGGAGAGCGGCAGAGGACCGAGAAAGGAAATGAGGCGACGGTCTACTGGAAACCTCCAATCGCTCTCAGCATAACCATGCATGACCGACTTCTGCTGCGACTTACTTCAGCATGTTGCCTGGATCTATCATGTTTCATAATGTTCAGTAAACAGTGGACTTCTGGTCCCTGTGGTCCTTGAAGTACGATAAGCGATGGATCCGCCCGCTGATCATCAAACCCACTGACACCCACAAGGCTGGAAGGCGGAATTCGGGGTGCAGAGTTGCCCGCAGGCAAAGTTGTTGAGACCCGATTGCGTTTGGCCGTGCGACGGGTGCGGATGCACCGGACGGTTTGATTAACGGTCGCAGATCGGGCGTCCGGAGCAACCCACTGCGAACCACTCGCATCTAGTTCTCGCACGAGGTCGAAACTTCGACCGGTTTCGCAGTAACAGCAATTCGCATCTTCTGAGATCAGGCCAGATCTGGTGGATAAATCTTTCGCCGTGAGGCCACATCGATCTCGCGCATGTAGGAGTGCCGATCTTCATAAAAACGAACAAAGTCTCGAACGCGCACTCCGGCCTCCACTTCAGCCATCTTCTGATATCAGGTACGCTATCTTATCGGTGTCGCGACTCGCGAGCTTACGCCCGCAGTTGTTTCCGGTGTCGAGCGGGCCGGCTTATCATGTTCTGAGGCAGCAGTGCCAGGACCACATGGCACACATGCGCCATGATTACTGCCTCACGTAGGGTACGACTGCAGCACCACGTAATCGAAGAGGGCTGAAGTGCGACAGGCTAACGCCATGTGTGGATTCTCTGAAGTGGCTTTCTTGGGTCTTGGTGCTGACGAGTGCACGGATGAAGTGGCCGTGCAAGTCTTGGACTCTTTGCCCACTTTAAGCCGCTTTCCAGAATTTGTTTGAAACGAGGTTCTACTGTGCCTGTCCCTGTAAAGTCAACTTGGCTGTTTGAATGATTAGTCGTGTGTCCACATGGATGCGAATTCGTGCAACAACCTGCTGGTGGTCGCCTGAACAACCGCCGTGGTGGCTGAGCGTCACCGAGTACGTATGAGGTATGCAGGCGACTGCGAAGTGCCGGAATGGACGGGAGAGCGAAAAATCAAGGTTTTGGCGCTAACTTGGGCGATGGACAACCAAGGCAGGGTCTCGTGCATGCGTAAGAGGAGACCCTGGCCATTGAGTAAGAGCGCACTGACCGCCGACATTCTGGCCTCGGGTCTCTCCACTGTATAATCTACCATGACACACACATCTTCTGGACGCGTCAACTGTCATAAGAAGTTGCGGCCTCCATCGTCACAGCTGATCTTCCACCTATCTCTTCCAAGTTCTTGAAACCTGCCAGCCATCTGTCTAATCTGCGCTTCATAGCTATAAGCCACGCATCGTGCATCTGCAGAACTTGGGCATCTTCACATTAACTCCATTCGGCACTCCATCACACTATTATTGGACCCATCCGCACGCTACCAAGACACGCCAACGGACCCCATCGATTACGGCTACTTTAACGCCCGAATACGCAATTACTACCCTGCATATCTTGCATTTGCTGGCTACATCATCGGGCATTCACAACCCACCGGCGCATATATTACGAAGTCTGCCCTCGGCTTCAGTATTGTCCAAGTCCAGCACACTGCAAAGTCTCTCGGTCGCAAGTCGCACACAGCTACACCACCACAACTACTCTATTACTCTACTACTCAACGACAACAACCAACCTCAACCACACCAAGCCACAATGTTCTCTTGCGCCAACTACGAGCGAGGATGCCGGGGTCGCTGCAACCGCATGAACGGACGATGCGATAGCTGCCACACACTCAACCTCCAAGTCCGCAGCAACAGCGCCTCATCCACATCATCCACCAACGGTCTACCATCAGCTGCCTACTCAGCCATGACCAACTCATTCGCATCGCTGTCACAACTCAACTCTCAATCATCGTCGACAAGGGCGCAATAATCGCCGGGCCCTAGGCGTTCACCCTCATGACATTCGACGAATCATTCAAACATCAGCGACTTAGCGGCACAGTGTGCAGGCAACACTCTTCAGCTTCGACTTTGCGATTTGGGAAACTTTTATTGGAGCACATCGGTTCAGCATTTACACGGAGCGATCTTTTCTTTCAGTTGTATGATATACCATTTTCATTTTTTCATGTCTTTGGAGGACCACTGCAGGCGTTTGGCAGGGCATGCAAGAGGCGGAGCGCTAGGCAGAGTTTCCCTCGGAGGACTTGACAAACTCCCACCACCACAACAATCAAACCCAAATTACCTCACCTGCATCTCCTCATGCACTCGTGATTCTTTCCATGCGCAGAGCACCCTGTCGGCATCACACCTGCCACAATACGTAAGACAAGACTTTCTCCTAGCCCCACAGTCGTGTCTAGATCTCACCCTCATCCATCCGCCCATCACGCAAAACCCACAACCACGAGCCTTCACGCTTCAAGGCCCGATCCCTTTCTCTCCTTTCACGGCAATCACGGGTCCATATTTCCGTACAAAACGTCGCTCTATTTCCTTATTCCCTATAGCCTCTATACAGAATACGTCCGTGATGTCCCGTAGCTGGGGGACGCAGGCTAAAGAGCCCACTCTTTGTAGGAATCCAGACCACCGGCGCACGGAGTAGTAGGCAGGGCCTAGAAGTCGGTATCGATCGAGCGTTGTGCTGGGGATCGGCTCGCTTGGACGGGCAGGTGGTGCAGCGCGCCTTTGGTGGCCGCTGCACTGTGACGTCAGTCGCACTTCCCACCACGTCCTGCTTCGTTTCTCGCATGTGCGTTTCAGCTCCGAGGCAAGCGGGTCCTCCACGGAGTCCACTCGTAGGCGCGGAGAGGCTGCGGGAGGCTTCTTTTCGGTGCTGTCATGTCGTTTTCTTTTGATTAAACTTTGACGATGTCTGCTTTCCGACATGCTGCCGCGGGAACCAACCTCGCACAACGAAAGGCCTGGACCTCAGGTGACGGCAAAATGGTGCCGAGGCCAATAGACTCGTGCATGGTGGTTATGATGCATGGCATTTTCGCATTCCCATGCCCGGGTTCATGCATTTGTGCCCATTGTTTCGCCGAAGGCTGCATCAAACAGCCGTAAAGTGTGTTGTTGTTGTCGCTGTTGTTGCCCAGGTGTAGTCGCGCCGATGTTTGCATGCGCCTTGCTGCAGTTACACCACCCCCAGCACTTCTACAGGGCATCAATGTTGGCTCTTGCGGAACCCAACATGCGACGTCTTCGATCTTCCTGCTCGCCAAACCTGGCGCATGTCAAAGCTGCATCGTGGACGTCGAAGCTATGATGTTGATCAACAAAATCCTTCGCGCCCAATTTTAGCATCGTGATCGTGACAGCGATGGAGCTTCCACTTGCACTTCCTTTTGCTCTCGTCTCTTGACAGCCTATCGGAGTCGATGACCCGAGGCTCGGACCTTCACTACCGGCACTCGATAAGTGCGGTGACAAGCGAGTGCGAAGAAAGATATTAGTGCCATCGACTCGAGGGTCCATAAAACCAGTGAGTTGCTAGCTGAGCATAAGCGCGAGACGTGGCTTTTCGGGAAGGAAAGACGCTTGTTTTCTACGTCATGCCGTTGGAAAAGCTGAACCTGTCTCCACCATCGTGAGAAGTCTGGAACCTCAGACTCGGTCGTGCCGATGTTCTACATACGGTTTGTGCAGTTATTCTATCGATGAAGTCTTCCAAGGTTCAGTCTAGTAGTCACGTGTTCTTAGTATTCACATTCCACCTCGGGCTGTCTGGGTAGGCACCCATCTGAGGAAGGAGCAGGTATCATCGAACACAATGTCCACGCTACCATCCACCTGATCTACTTCAACGAAGATGAGTGATCACTCCGCACTCTTAACAATCCTCTTGTCTTCACGCGCAACAATTCCGGGTTTCACTCGGTGAAGCAGCTGCGTAATCACTCCATTCAAGCCACCAACTAGCAAAGCCTCAACGACCGTTGGGATACTCACCTATAGAACCCGCGCACAACGTAGTACAAGACACCTGAGTCACACCTCCTCGTGTCAACCACTACCAACTATTCTTGAGAGTATGACTCCCCAGAATATCCCCGCTGACAAAATCTCTCACGAACTACCGATGTCGCTACCCGGACCGGAAAGGCGTCACGTGGAAGCGCGACAGTAGGACAAGTGAGCTGAATAGGGTATGCATGACGAGCTGGATAAGCCGCATAACACTAGTCGTTGCAATATCGAACGATGCAGCTTATACAGCTACGCAGTAACACGGTCCGATGAACCTATGGCTGCCCAGCGATGTGCTTACTCAACCACATCTTGTGGTGCGGGAGTGATTGTTTCTAGAAGGAGGAGGCTCGAGGTGCATGCAGCCCTACCCGTGTGAGGAAAGCTTAGTTGGCTGTCAGTGTAAGGCATAGGCTCGTGATGAAAGGACTAGTAGTAGCCTGGTACACGTAGAGGTTTGCGGTGGGATGAAATATCATGCACGTCTTTAACCACAACCCTAGTCCATGATCCAATCACCCGCTTCCAATACAGTGGCTAGCGAAGGCTGAGTCGGTCTACCAGCCAGCCACAACGTCTACCCACTACCATCACGCTCCATCCCCTACCTCAGCGACTCCCAAATAGGCAAGCATTTCGTGCACCCCAACACCCGACGTCCTCCCGTTGAGCCACCCCGTATCTACCCGTACTCGCATACCCACCCTTCCCCATGTCCGCTGCCAAATCCCCCATCAAACATCGCGTACGTAAATAAATCCTGCTTATCAAATGCCACACCAAGCACCTACAAGCCTCACGCGCCCTGTGCTTTCCCATACCGCTCCTCCGCTGAATAATCGCGGGATGGGCGATGAGAAGAGCAAATAGCGTGCTGGCTAGACGCACGTAGGAAAATGATCAGCAAGACGGATTGTGACGCGTGGATCTCTCCGTGCAGTTCATGGCGTTGTGATATGGAGTACATATCCCCATTTGAAGCGGCGATAGTTCCTGTTTGTTGATGGAGAGTAGCATCAGCTTTCCTCTTTCCTGTTTCCTGCTTGCTTCTTTCCAGTTTGGAAGTAAGGTACTTGCCAAGATCGGATATCGAGGTCTTGTTTCAACTTTGATTACAGGTACCGTGAAGTTGCCAAGATATCAAGCTTCGCAGATAAGCTCTTCCTTCCAGAAGCATGTCGGCGCCTTGGTCAGAATCCGCCCCGCGAAGGAAAGCCAATTACAAAGTCCGCTTTCGACATGGTGTGTATCCTGATTTGGAAAGTCAGGCTACCAGGGCCGATATCAAGAAGTACGACTACTTCTTTGGTGCGGCGCAGAGATGGGTTGGTACACCAGGAACATGTAGGTACAAGTCATGTGGTGGTCTTATTAAGTCGATGCTAATGACTGTCTTGTAGTGGACTTTGTCGACGAATCGTCACTCATAGCTGAAGAGTTCGAGGGCCCCGGAAGTGCTGATAAAAGGAAGACACCAAGACATCTGGTTCGCTCCAGGACGGCTGAGAAGATACCACAGTCGGTATCGAGGAAGAGTCCGCAAGGAAGAGAGCGACACATGCGCCCGACGAGTCGAAGCTGGAATGATCGAGTGCTCATACCCGCAGCACCACAGACCACGCCTGACCTATGGCAGCTTCCGTCGCATATCCGGCGACACACAAGCCCGGCACCTGGCTCAGTCTCAAGTCTCTCCAGCCTTGACGAGCCCCTGCCGGGAACTTGGAACTCTGGCATCCCCTCGCCACATCCATTCGTTCCAACGAACCATGCTTCACCGGTAGCATGGCCGATACCTAACCCAATCGAAGCATATCTTTTTCGGTTCTGGGTAGAGAAAGCATCAGACGCACTAGACATAATGAGTCCTGCTAGCATCTTCAAAAATATCGTTCCAAAGCTCGCTTTGACAAGCCCGATGCTCATGAACGCCATCTTCATGATTTCCGGACAGTGTATACTGCGCTTCGATCCGTATTTCCCCACCAGACCATACGACTACCATGAGAGACTATTGCAGAGTCTCATACCGTATATTGCCGAGAAGGGACAAATTGAAGATGAGGCGACGCTGGTGGCCGCCATGTTGCTGCGAAACTTTGAGGACTTCCATGGTACGTGAACACGAGGAATTGCGCGGAGATCAGCTGACATTCAAATAGCGGGTACACAAGGACAATCACATCTCTCGACGTTTGAACTCTTCTATGGTCCTGGAGGCTGGGTCTTCGATATGTCTAGCCCGGTTGTACAAGCTGCTCTGGTACTCCATGTGCATACCGAAGTCAGCCAAGCATTGCTCAACCAACCCACTCTGCGCATTAATTATGAAAACTTCATTCTGCCAGCTCTAATATCGCCAATCGATGAAGTCTCGTGGGGAAATCGAATATTATGGCTGACTGCGCGCATCTTGCAGTGGGCGCAAAAGAGCGTGCGGACGATGGCCGAGTGGCAGTATCTTCACAGTTTGGTCGATGAGTGGGAAAGAAGGCGACCCGCAAGCTTCGATGCCTTCTTTTACCAGGAAGGCAACCCAAATGCCGTTGGTGGAGGATATCTGGAATTGTGGTTCTCTGGCGCTTGTCATGGTGAGTCCAATTAGTCGTCAGCTCACGGACTGTTTGCTAACAGGCGACAGCGGAGGCGAACCAACAGCTGCGAATATGTCGCATTGCACTTGCAGTCTACAATCCAGGGATGAATATGCAAGGCGTACATGATGAAGTCTTGAGAGGTTTGAGAGAGATGATAGCTATCGCTCGGTGCAACGCTCATTGCATTTCTGCGCAATGGGACGCCGCGTATACAGTACATAAGTTTGGCACCGTACTGCAGGATGATCAGGACCGATGCAAGATGGTCGAATTTCTAGAAGAGGTGCAGGCCACAGGCATGCCGACACGCACGTCGATCGAGCATCTCCAAGACCAGTGGAACTGGAGATGGAAC